CCGTCCGCAGCCATCCGCGCAGCCAAGCTCGCTGATCTCCATCGGCTTCTTCTCCCCACCCATTTCCAGCCACTGCCTGGCACCCACGCCGTCCGCAGCCGTCCGCGCAATTCTCCGCACCCATTTGCCGTCCGCAGCCGTCCGCGCAGCCAAGCTCGCTCATCACCAGCGGCTTCTTCTCCCCACCCATTTCCAGCCACCCCCTTGCACCCACGCCGTCCGCAGCCGTCCGCGCAGTTCTCCGCGCCCATTTGCCGTCCGCAGCCGTCCGCGCAGCCAAGGTCGCTCATCACCAGCGGCTTCTTCTCCCCACCCATTTCCAGCCACTCCCTTGCACCTACGCCGTCCGCAGCCCGCACCCATTTGCCGTCCGCAGCCGTCCGCGCAGCCAAGCTCGCTCATCACCAGCGGCTTTCTCCTCCCCACCCATTTCCAGCCACTCCGTTGCACCCACGCCGTCCGCAGCCGTCCGCGCAGTTCTCCGCACCCATTTGCCGTCCGCAGCCGTCCGCGGAGCCAAGGCCGCTCATCACCAGCGGCTTCTTCTCCCTACCCATTTCCAGCCACTCCGTTGCATCCACGCCGTCCGCAGCCGTCCACGCAGTTCTCCGCACCCATTTGCCGGCAGCCGTCCGCTCCATTCCTTTCCCTTCCTTTCCCATCCTTTTCCGTTCCTTTCCCATCCTTTCCCTTCCTTTCCCTTCCTTTCCCATCCTTTTCCGTTCCTTTCCCATCCTTTCCCTTCCTTTCCCTTCCTTTCCCTTCCTTTCCCTTCCTTTCCCTTCCTTTCCTCCCTTTTCCTTCCTTTCCCCTCCTTTCCCTTCCTTTCCCTTCCTGTCCCTTCCTTTCCCTTCCTGTCCCTTCCTTTCCCATCCTTTCCCTTCCTTTCCCTTCCTTTCCCATCCTTTCCCTTCCTTTCCCTTCCTTTCCCTTCCTTTCCCTTCCTTTCCCTTCCTTTCCCTTCCTTTCCCTTCTTTTTCCTTCCTTTTTCCTTCCTTTCCCTTCCTTTCCCTTCGTTTCCCTTCCTTTTTCCTTCCTTTTTCCTTCCTTTCCCTTCCTTTCCCTTCGTTTCCCTTCCTTTCCCTTCCTTTCCCTTCCTTTCCCTTCCTTTCCCTTCCTGTCCCTTCCTTTCCCTTCCTGTCCCTTCCTTTCCCTTCCTTTCCCTTCCTTTCCCTTCCTTTCCCTTCCTTTCCCTTCCTTTCCTTTCCTTTCCTTTCCCTTCCTTTCCTTTCCTTTCCTTTCCTTTCCCTTGCACCCACGCCGTCCGCACACCACCGTTCGAGCCAGGTCGCTCCCCCACGCGGTTAAACAACTAAACGAGAACCCAAGCATCGAAGATGCTTTTGGGAAAAACAAGCAATGGAACCCACATGATGTGTGTCGAAAACGATAAACATAGACTAATGAGCTACCGTCCATGACATTAACATCTGACAGCTGACGAAGACTATCAAATTGATCCAAAGGCCGGAAGACCACATCTACAAAAGATCTGGAAAACGCCAGCGAATAAACATCCACGGATCATCCTAGATTGCCATCTTTTCTATTCCTGGAATCAGTAGACACTCTCAAGATCTCTCAAGAACAACAAAAGGGAAACACATGGGGCACGGTTGTGTTTAAATCGTGCTAGCTCCCCATTTTGGCTTGAGAAGATAAAACACGTGGATTCCTCATAGTTTTTGTGTGCTTCTATCCCGCTTGTTGCTAGTGAAAGCAATTGTTGCATTTGGGTTTACATTACCACCATGTTTCTTCACTAAATTCACATGTTTTCTTGGTTGAACTCACATAGACAACTTACGTCATGTAATACGTGTAATATTAGATCATGCTTATTTAAACTTCCGCCCTGGTGTTACTTGGCTTCGCCCCCACTCATCGCCTCTTCAACGGATGCGCTTTGAAGCACCTGACGGGCGGTTTCTGCAGCCTCGGCAGGACGGGAAAATCTGGGAAGTTTCGAAAAAATGGGTTTCTCTGACGGGGTACCCCCAAAACCATTGGTTCAGTTCATCACCATTTTCACCATTAACATGTTATTCTTGGGGGTATATAGCGGTATACCCCGTTTTCAGACACCCACGCAGGAGCATTGTCAAATTGCGGAAGTGGTCTGAGAGTTTTGTGAAATATGGAGGAGTATCAAACGGATGGATTTCCGAGCCTGCGAGTTTTGTTTACAGTTTTGTTTTTACTTGGTTTTGGGCAATGGGGGTGCAAGCCACCCTGAAACTTTTTGGAGGCATCCTAAAGAAGCAGCTGGAAGATAATTGTGCCATAAGAACTGACAACGTTTGGGGTGTTTCCTGTTGAATTTTGGGGGAGTGTAGCTCACCTATATAATGATATTCAAATGGCCACAAACTGTACTTGGATCATGCCAGCAGCCGCATCTCAAGAAGTCATTCCGACCCAGTCCAAGACCCTCCGCATGGGTTACCCTGTCGGGCCTGCACAGCCACTTCCGCACCCAGACTTGCTGGGAATGCAATGACCTGACAGTGAAAATAACCACGCTTCACAGGGCTTCCAATTCATCCAGCTACTGCAGTAGCTATGTGAAGTCTCCAACTCCAAGTTTATCCTTATCCTATCTATTCCTATCTATTCCTATCTATACATGTCTATATACTATGTCCATACTATGCGATTCTAACTAACCATACCACCAGCAAAGTCCAAATCATTCACCCCCCCCACATGGCTTTCTGCCTGAGGCCCCAGGCGTAGTCAAATCTCATGGCTTCTTGCAAGCGTCGCTGCTCTAAACGACGAGCACCCGGGCAGCTCTCACCGGCGTAGGTACGAATGTCCTGACACGAGATCTGGGCACACCTCGTGGAGCAAACATGGGAAAAAGTCCATCCCAGCTAGCATTGGGTTGGTTGAAGGATGTTGACGGGAAAACTTACAAGACACATCAAGAAACCATATAATTCGTAATTATCGGTTGTTGCAGAACCTTTTCCCCCCGACCAGTTCTGGGAAACTGTGCAAGTGAGAGTGGTGCGAAGTCAACCTCATCAATCAATAGATCCTCAGATCCATGTTCTTCTGAGTTTGCACCAATGATTAGTCTATCAGTCTGGGTAACCTTCTCATGTTTGCAGGGGTACCCATGTCAGTAACACTCAGTCAGGTCATCCATGCAATGCCAGAAATCCCAAAGACGTCCTGCACGTATTGCGCTTCTACCGCTGCAACTCGAGAAACCATCTGAGCCGGGGCTGTCAAGGACCGCTCTGGAAATGTCAACCTAAAACCAAGCTGGAAGCCGGGAGGCTGAGGTACATAGTCAGTACTGATCTGTTTGGTAGTTTCAAGCCGCCTGAAAATCTCAGTTTTTGGTTACCATGCGACAAGCGCACCACTGCAGCCCACATGCCACCGTGAAAAAAAAAGTAAGTAAATCATTGGGGATAATCATCCCATGTGTGGATAAGCAACAAAAGGATATTTGAACCCACCTATCAGAAGTCATCTCAGTGGATATGTGTAGATCTGTGTAGATACCTTCTCGAAGAATGATCATTTGCGATCAGGTCATGGATCAAGTACCAGCAACTGGACAAACCAAATCTCCATAGATTTCGTAGTTCAGAGCTGACCGTCTTTCGGAAAGGAAAACATGCATATATCATCATATATCTATCAACAAGAAGCGATATCTGCAGGATAACTGAGGTATAGCCAGGTATAGGTGGTTCAACTCCCAGCTTTTCCTACAAGGTGATGAGCAGACCATCGGTGGAACATGGGTTCTCCCACGAATTTTGAGCCATCCCACTGCTCCCCGCGGAGGGGAGATGGATCAAAATGTGATAGTTCAAATTCCCAGAGTGACACAAAATGACACAAAATGACACAAATGTATGCAAAAATCATCCAAATCTGTGGTTCCTGCTGCTATTGCCCCATACCGCCCATACCCCCTTACCAGTCCACAGGACTGTCGCTCGCCTCTCGGATAGCTTCCTTCGCATCGGATGATTCTGCAAAGACTCCAGCATCGGACACGGACAAAGTCATGCCTCACCAGTCGCAACTTGTCTTCCCACCAGAAAGATAGGATGCCCATTCAAGCAAAACTTATATGAGGGCCAAGACATTCTCTTCACGAACACCCAAATGATATTGGGATGCCTACCCCTTTGGGTTTACTCTGAACATGAGGGATAAAGTACCCCAAAATTCTGCAACTTTTTTTAGGGCAAAAATGATGAAACCACCGGATTTGGGGTCGCTTTTCATCAAACCTTGAGGCCCTGGCAACCTTCCACAGTGGCCGGAGCCTCTTCAGTGACTGTCACCTCCACAGTTTTGCGGAACGGCTGAAAATGAAATCAACCAAGAATGTGTCGGCAAAATTGGATTAGACCATTGAAGCAAAATGGGAAAATAGGAGGGCTGACGGGCTGACCACCGAATTGGCCAGTAATAAACATGGAACATGCAGGCAACCACCAGTTACGAAGATCATCTTCTTCAGGGGTTAACCACTATTCAACCACCAAAAGTGCTGTTTAACCGCCCCAAAATAGGGAAGTATAGCGACTCTTGATCAACCAAGAAAACTCTGGCCATGGAAATGGTAAGGATGTTGAGGTAAACTCGAAACCACAAACCGGACCTTGCTTTAACATTTGGGCATGGTTTTGGAAACCTCGAAACCAACTAGGTTTTCTTGGGGGTTTGCAACGGAACAATCTGTAAACGATGCAAATTCCCAAGGTCTCAAAAGAACGGGCCCAAGGCCATACAGGCTGTGGTCAAAACCCAAAAGGTCTGGAAATACTAAATTACTAAATATGAATTCATATGAATTCATACAATCTGGATACCAGTCTGTGATACCAGTTTCTTCGTAAGGGTTTGGATAATGGCTTTGGATCATCCAGTCCGTGATAAACCCTGCATAATCATCATGTCTGGATTGAAGCCACATTGGTGGAGTGCTCCACTTTCTGTAAAGAAACAGGACCGTGGCTGGAAATCTGTCCCAAGTACCTTCAATCGATTGACCCCCAAGAAGTCTGGGCACAAAAACAAAAACCAGCAGGGTGGGTCTGCCGCAAAATTGTTGATCCTTCAAAATTGGATAGGAGTCTGACAAAAGGATCTAAAATAAAGATTGGAGACCGTTTAAAATCAGACAAGAGATATGTAAAATAGTATATATAATATTTGCTTAATACAGTATAACATAAGATGATATGATATGATACGATATGATATACAGTAATATAAATATAACTATACATATAAACTGGTATATAGATATAATATAATTTAATACAATGTGAATATAATGCACTATAATACATAATAAATATCATGTAATATAACACATTAAATATATATATATATATATGTAAATACATATAAACAATATAAATATGATTACGCTATAATGTATAAAAACATAATATAAACAAATATAAAGTACTATTAATTGTATAATAGCATATAATACAACATAATATATATATATAGTATAGAAAAAAACGAAAACATACTATAATACAAGACATAAAAAACAATAACAAAGTCATAATAAAACAGAATGTAATATAATGTAATACGGTTTAAAGAAAAACACCTCACAACAAATAAAATACTATACATCACATAATATAATATATCGTTTAGCACAACATAAATTGATACGGTACAAACACATATATGTATATATAACAATACATAATAAAACATGATATAACATAAAAGAACATCATACAATATAATATATATATATATATAACATAATGACACAACATATACAATACTAAAATAGAATTAAAAAAGAACATACAATAACATAATACAACATACTATAATATACTATACTATAATAAAATATAATATAACAAAATATACTACAATATAATATAGTATAGTATGACATACTATACCATAATATAATATATTATACTTTACTAAATTATATAGTAATATAACATAGTATAGCATATAAAATAATAAGATTCGAGAAAAAATATATATATATAATGCGTTCATACTGAACTAATCCCACATGTTGCATCTTGTCCCTGTTCCATCATTACTCCCAATGTTAATTTTGCATCGGTATTCCTCGCCACCCGCCCACCGTCGTCGTGGTCAGACTAGTCCAGGTCGATGTGGTTGTCATGGAGCTCTCTGTAAAGCTGGAACCTCTGCCATGCCATGCCACCACTTTGGGATTTACCATCTGGTAACGCAACGAACTGGAACATAGGGATTTATCATCATAAATCAGCTATGGGGCATCTTCCATAGCTGTGTTAAATAACCAGAGGGTAAGAGTGATTGATTGGGCAATTAACCAACAAACATGGGAATATAATAGGGGTTTAATGGGGATATGATAGGGATAATGTGATTGAGCTGTGTCAGAAAATGGGGTACATCCCCGAAGTTGCAATTTTTATGAGGAAAATGATTTCCTAATCACTTGCAAATTGGAAAATGAACCACCGAAAAAAGGAATTGCCATGAATTGACCAAGAAAAAAGTCGATAATCGGACATTAGGGAGGATTCAAGAGCTTAAACAACCGCTGTTCACGGAGGTGATTTTGACTGAAATTCAACGGAAAACTGCGGGGAACCCCACAACAAATAAACAAATAAATAGATAAGCAAACAAATACATAAATTTAAAATATAATATATATATATACACACATATGGTTATTGCCACATATTACCACCCAAAAACAAGTTACTGTAAAAACCAAGTGAAACGAGTTTGGGTCACCAATGTTGGTACAACATAGCAGGGAGTGACAAGCCAGTATCTGTGAGATTCTCTTAATCAGTCAGCATCCGTGTGTTTTGCTCCCGAGGGGCTGGTTCTTGTGGTTGATGATGTGACCTCGGCTTTGACAAGGCCACAAGCTGCACAACAGTCTGATGCACTCCCACGCTAAAGGCCTGGACCCTTAGGGGAAAAGGGGTGAGATTCCACTGAACAAAAACATTAGCCAACTTGGACCGACATCCCAAGAAGATTGGAAAACCTATGTTTCAAACAACCAACTAGCATCTCTAGCATCTCTTTCAGCTTGATCATCCCTTTCATGGGCAATAGCGGTTTCTATCAACCCCAAAGCACCAGGAAATTCCAAAGCAGTCAAGAGGCTGTGACGCTGATTGTCAAGGTAGTAGATGTAGTTGTGGTACCTGGGGATGGGTCAAGTCGCTATCCCGGCTCTATGATGCGCTATGGGTCACCCAAACTAGGTGTCATTGTGGATGTTCATCCCATAATTCTCCTGATAGCATAGGATAGGTATTGACCTATTCCCAATTTTTTTTCCGCTCGTGCTTTGGAATCCTGGGGAACGGGGGATCTAGTTGAGGAGTCAGAACCACAAAAAACATCAAAAAACAACAAGACACAAATGCCTGAGTCAAGTGGAAACACAGACCTTGCGGTCCTTGCTCTGTCTTTTCCCTGTGTTTTTTTCCCACCGGAACAAAAACACTTGACATCTTGCCAGGACGGTCCGAAGAAATTGCCAAGCGACAAAAACATACTGTTCAGTCCATAGTGCCCTGGGTATAGCGATGGTGGGATCAGCCCCCAGTCAATACAAACATTGGAACAACAAATCCCCAGTCTGCCAACATGTTGCACAGCCACTTCGGCCTATGCGCGGTCTCAGCCATGTAAAGGAAACAAAGGTGTTTGATTTACAACAGCCAGGTAAGCACTTACAGTAGTTCGACTGTTTATAGGTCATATATCCATATCCCAAGTTTTGATGTTTAAAATGCCATGTGTTTGTTGTAATATCATCTCGCTGATTGAAACCACCTTTTTGTTTTCGGTGATGACCATCCGCCCGGTTGGCACGTTCAAAGATTGGAATTGTCGTAGCCAGGTTGTCCTGCGAAATGGTGTTTTTGCCATATCGATGTTGTCTGAAAATTAGGGACTTACCAACAAATTATGTTTATTCAATACATTTCAATACTCATATGGTTAAAAACAAACGGCAAATGATGATAGTCGATCAAATTTGGGGGTACCCTATTGTCAGATAAACCCATCTATGAATTTTCCGGTCCTTTGTGATACCTAATTTGTAGTGTTTCACAGTTTCCGAATTCCGAGCACTCAAGCAGGATCAAACTGTTTCACATGTGGAGCATCCTTTCCTACAAACGTATACAGTATACAAATGCTTCCGGTATATCATCTATGCCTTATATAATGTTTATGGCGTAACATCCTCTTCCACATATGCTCTATGTTTTTGATAGACTTGCCAAAACTATGTTTGGAACATGTCCGGGGTAAATCAGAATGGATCCAAATTGATCCAAACTGGGGTACCAATGGACCCACAAAAATTGCATATTTTCATATTAAACCATCCATGCTGGGTTGGTGAACTTGACCCATACCCAAACGGCTGTGCTTCAAAAGCCTGGTACCTTTCTGTCCACAACACAATAGTCTCAAAATATGGATGCTGATTTCTCCAACTGTTTTTTTTTCTGACTCCCCGAGTCTTTGTCAACATACCATCTATGCCGCGCTCCTGCAATGATGAAATCGCCAAAGCCGTTACAGCCTCATTCTGCAAGGTCACTTGGATCGTCACAGGATGGACAATTCATATATGGCCATGGGTGAAAAGCCTGGTGCCCTGGTGAACATCTAAAACAGCTGGTAAATGGATGGTCGGAGGGTCATCTCCGTAAAATATTGTCGAAGGGAGTTTAGAAACCAAACTTCCGACAATATGGACAGATGAAAAGCAGAGATGGGAAGGGTCAGAGAAGAGAAGAAAAGAAGAAAGAACAATCAAAAAAAGATCAGAAGAAAGAAGATCCATTGATTTGTGGCTCCGGAAGGTCGAAAAGTAGGCTCGCTAAAGCGGCGGCTGCGAAGCCAGCTGGCCAGATGAGAGATGAAAAATTGCACGCTGTCGTGGCGCGAAGCACATTTCCAAGTCAAAATGTACAAAGCACACCAATGCTCGGACCACTTTTGGAAGTTGTGATGTCGAAAAAGTGCATGCCGTTGTGGCGCGAAGCACATTTCGAGGTCAAAATGTTAAAAAACACTATCTACATGTTCGCACCTCTTTTGGATGTTCAGATGTCGTTTCGCGTGGCAGGCGCAAGGGATTGGGCACCTTGTCAAAAGTGAGAAAAACGTGAGGGTTTTGTAGCATTTCCAAAAACGATGGCAGGCGTGGGACATTTGAAGAGGATCTGGCAAGATGAATTTTCCGTGGCAGGCGCAGTACAAGAGACATCTTCATCAGAGATGTTAGGAGGTCCGGGCGCTGATTTCCTGAGCGGGGTTGCATTTTGGAGCATCAGATCTTCAGTTTTGGGAAGGTGATTTTGCGTGACAGGTGCAGCACTTCGTATGACCTGGCATCACTTTTTCGTGGCAGGTGCAGTAGATTGGACAGGTGGAGTGGGAAAATCAGAAAACGCATTGGTACGAGGCCGTCAGCTCTGCACTCAACTTTCCATTTTTGAAGGAAGTCTCGCAGAGTTGTTTCGTTTTTGATGTTGTCAACTTCGAAAAATGAGGAAGTCTCGGGGAATTGTTTCGTTTTTGATGTTGTCAAGTTCAAAAGTTGAAGAAGTCTCGCAGAATTGTTTTGTTTTTGATGGTGTCAAGCTCAAAACTGAGGAAGTCTCGGAGAATAGCTTCGTTTTCAAGCTTGCAGATAAACAGATAGATAGATACACAACTACAACAACAAGTACCACTACACTACACTGATAGCAACTACAAGTACAAATATAATACAAGTATATTACGCTACATTACACAACACCAACTACACTACACTACACTAATTACATCTAATTACAATACACTACGCTAATTGCACTACAACTACAACAACAGCAACAGCAACAGCAGCAACAACAACAACTACTACTACTACCACTACTACTACTACTACTACTACTACTACTACTACTACTACTTCTTCGGCCACCACCACCACCACCACCACGGCTACAACTACAATTACAGCTGCACTTCATTACACTGCAATACATTAATTAAACTGCAGCACATTACAGCTACAAATGCAAATGCAAATACAACTACACTACCGTACACAACACTACGCTACACTAATTACACTACACTACAACTGCAACTACCACTGCATTGCGCTACACGACACTACACTACAACTACAACTGCACTACTTTACGCTACAATACACTAGACTACAACTACACTATACACGCTACAGTACATAACACTACAGTGCACTACAATACACTACACAAATTACATCACACCACACCACAACAACTGCAACTGCACTTCACTAATTACACTACATTACAACTACAACTTACAACTCCACTACACTACAACTACAACTACACCTACAACTGCACTACACCAAACTACACCACACTACATCCAGCAGTTGTGGTGAGGTGACCGCTGCAACCATTGCAACCACTCCAGAAAACA